CCGGGCCTAGTCTACCTCGCCCGCCTCCACCGCGCTGCCTGCTCGCCATGGCCAGCCCACTCGCCGCGACCGCCTCCACCGAGCGGGCGAGCCTCCACGACGGATGCTCCAGCAAGCAGGTGAGGGGAACGAGATTCGTGTGACGCCGCTCCTACCAGCGAGTTGCCTGTGCCGCTGCCGCATAGCGAGGTCCATGCGCCGCCGTCAACCTCCACGTCGGCGTGCCTCCATTCGTCCAAGCAAAACCCATGTTGCAAGAGTATGTTTCAAGCATTTCAGATGTTTCATCTGGATGTTGAGTGTTTTATCTTGATGTTGCAAAAGTAGATCGGAATGTTGCATATGTTGCCGTGGCTATACATGTATGTTTTGAGTATATGATCTAAATGTTTCATCTCGTTTTCCAGATGTATGTTTGCAAGTGTTTCATCTGGATGTTGCATATGTTTACACACATATGAAGTGTTTTCATGTGTTTTTTTTCAAGTGTTCCATACGCATGTTTCATCCGTTTCATACGTATGTTGCAAGTGTTTCATCTGGATGTTGCATATGTTTACACACATATGAAGTGTTTTCATGTGTTTTTTTGCAAGTGTTCCATACGCATGTTTCATCCGTTTCATACGTATATTGCAAGTGTTTCATCTGGATGTTTCAAAAATAGATCTGGTATTGCAGCAAGTGTTTCAGATGCATGTTTCATGTGTTTCATCTACCTTCAGACATATGTTGCAAGTTTTTGCATCCGGATGTTTCAAAAGTAGATCGGGTGTTGCATCTTTGTCTTCGCGTTTCTACTACCTCACCTTCGCCTCGGTGTCTCCTCCTCCCGGCGCCGGCTGGGCATCCGCCACCCCCTCCCTCCCTTCTGAATACTGGCGTAGCCACCTGCTGTAGTCACCTGCTGCAGTTGCTGGCCGTGTGCATGCACGTGAGAAGTTGAGGGAGCGAGTGGAGACTCCCCACGTTCAGTCGGGGTGGCGCAGGCCCCGTGTAGGCGGGCGCGGGATGCAGGTGCGCGGGGGGGAGACAAAGTGTAGGCGCAGGCATCCGTCCGAACGTCCGGGTGCTAGCACTGCCGTTATTAGATCATCAGGACATAGGCCAAATTTTGGAGGTAATTTGGACTTTGTTCTTAAAATTATACTAGATTTTCTATCTCGTACTTCCTCTAAGTCTGAGATAATGTATGTGGAGCACATTGAGGCGGTCTCCAAAACATATTTTTGACCAGCTTAACCTTTTATAACATAATATAGAAATGTGAAACCATACTATGGAAACAACATCTAATAATAAAGAAAATATTGTAATGAATAATCTTAGGTTAAATAAATATTTATAAAAATTATTATTCTTTATGTGAAGTTGATTATTAATTTAAAAGACTTTGAACAGAGAGAGAACTAGAGTTATATTCTTTTTTGGATGGAGAAGTGGACAACCGAATCAAATATAGTAAATAATACTATAAGGCATGCAATATTTTTGGTGGACGGAATATGATAGGATAGCTGGGTAATAAGGGGCCATTTGGTACGGTTCCGCATGCCGCCGAACCAAATGGTCCCCCGCGCGCTATGCTTTGTTGGTGAAGCTATGAGAAACCTGATGCAAGAAGCATGGAGAAAGAGTCGGAGCCAAAAAAAAAAGCTTCGTGTGGCTCTACGAGCTTCCGTGGGCCTAGCACTTGTTCATGGCCGGACCCAATTTGCCCCAAGACGTGTTGATGCGGGAGACTGTGACGCGCAGGGACTACAGAGGGAGGGGCAAAGGCGGCATGCTCGCGCTTGAAGGGGTAGATGTGGCACGCTCGCGCAAGGAGGCTGCACGCGGAGAAGTAGAGGCGGGGAGGAGGCGGCACACCGCCGGGAGAAGGCGGAGGAAGAGGGCAACAACAGGAGGGGTGGTGGACTAGAGGCAGACAGGAGAAGACAAAGAGAGGCGTGACGAGGAGGACGAGGGAGACAGGACGAGAAACAAGATGATAACCCGAAATAAATAAAGGAAGAAAAAAGAAAGATATTTATGGACATAACATCTTTTTTATTTATCCAGAAAGGCTGTTCCACTAAACATTTTACTAAAATAGATTAAGCTCCACTAGTATAGTTACTCTTGTAGTCGAAGGGAAAAAAAACCCTAATGTAATCATGAAGCAGGGCTATACTAAACTAAACGGACCCTGAAGATTACTCAACAGAAAAGGAGCTGCAACCTGCAAGCAAAGCAGGTGCGGCTGTCTGATAGGCACACGGGTCACAGCTCACAGGTTATGATGAGTGAGCTGATGCTCGTGGTCGTGGTCGTGCACCAGGTAGAGCCTTCCCAGCAAGATACAGATCGCCAGACGACGGCCTTCCCAGGAGAGCAGGAAGAGGTTATCAGTGGAGTGGTTATCAGGGTGAGGTGAGTACTGGACAGGACAGGACAGCTTTATTTTTATTTGGACAGTGGAACGGAACTGGTCCAGCTCCACCCCGTGCGTCCCTTCGTCCTTTTTAGGTACGGCACCCGCACCGCACCACCAAAGTCCAAAGGCACGACGCACCGCACCAACGTCGAGTAGACAGCTACAGTTTTTGTTTATTCTAGTTTTTTTTTGTTTGCGGTTCTGAAATGATTACTTCTAGGTTTATTTGTTTGCGGATCTGAATCAACGATCCTCCAATACTTAAATAATTTTCCATTTTAAATTATTAGTCATCTTGACTTTTATAGATACATATATAATTTTTACCGTGTGTCTAGGCATGATATATTTAGCTGTACAACAAAAACTACGTAGCACAAAACACCTTAACAATTTAGAACTAACAAGGGAGTACAAAAAAGTAAAAATGTTTTTTTTTTGCTTCTTTCGCCATCTTTTCATGAGTGTCAATACTTGTGTTAGGTTCATATATATATACCATAGATCTCCCTATCTTCTTTTAGTTCCTGAGATAATAAGTTTAATATGAAAAATACCGAAGTAGACATAGGCTAAATTGATAAGGTGAAAACAAGGATAAATCCACATGATTTAGGTAATTAGGTATGTGCATGAGAAAGCATTTTTTGTAGATGCTCAACCCAATAGAATGGCCCACAGGTCACGTTGGTCATCTCCATCTTCATGGAAAGTGGAATCATCTCTAGTTAGGTCTCCAAGGGACAAATACCTAACATTCTCCTCATGTGTCCACATCTTTAGCAACTAAGTGTCCCAACTCTAAATATACTGGTATATGACTTGTTACACACTATTGATATTTTTGTTCCTCATATATGAACAACTTTTTCAAAATCAAGTTCAACATATCACCAATAATTTAGACAATTCACTGAAGCTTGTTTTTATAGTGTACAACAAAATGATCATTAAAGATAGGCTACATCAAAACATAGTTTTACTGGATTTATAGCCCATTTATGTTTTTGAAGTCCATTAGCATTATTGAAAATAGTCGTAAAACTACTGAATGGACAACATATAATTTTATTGTTAAAATAAGAAAGTATATTATGGCCTGGCACACCATAAGAAAGCTCAGTGGCCCATGTATCAATTAATAAAAAGAAAGAAAATGAACTATCTATGCACGCGCCCCCTCCACCTACCCCCTTGACAGAACATCGGCTTTTTATCCAGTAAGATGCCAGTGGTGCAAGAAGGGAAGGCCGATCTAAGGTCACCACCCGTTGCCGACTGTCAGAGATCACCGTTCGCCAGCATTAAAGCCCCTCCTATGCTCTCCCTTTTTATCACCCCCCTCGCACCTCATTTCTAAAATCTGAGACTCACTTTGTTGTTTATTACTCCTTATGTTCCAAACTATAAGACGTTTTTACTTGCATTGTTTTTACTATGTATTTAGATATAGTGTTTATCTAAGTGTATAGCCTAAGTCATGTACTAAAAAACTAAAAAAATATCTTATAATTTGAAATGGAGGAAGTATTTTCTTACCTAATTGTGGGCAAATTTTTTTACAGGTTCGTAAATGAATTTTACCGAATTACAGTACATGTGAATTTTTTTTTGATACAGCATTATATCCTATATAAAAAATAATCTTAGGTTCCCAACTGAACATGGCGACAATATTTATTTGTATTTGCAACTCTGCCACATGTTTTATAATACCATACCACTCGGATTATTTTTCTCTTTTCTTGGCATGTTTTGTGACCGTCGTCCATGTGCTTTTATTTGCAACCCTCGTCCATGTTAGTTTTCAATCGTGGGCGCTAATGGTATCCGTACAGTTAAATCATGGGGCCCTAATGACGACCAAGGGAATGCGTTGTCGCTGACACAGACACACAACCACGGAACGGAACAGGACGGGAAAGAAAAGAAAAGCCGTCCCCAGGGAGCACGGGACCAGTCAGCAACAACTACTACTCGTCTCTCACACACACTCTACCGCGAGATGCCAAAGTGGGGGAGCGGGGCCACACGTCTGTGTCACGGGCCGGCCAAGCGTCCGGTACGCTTCGCTTCGACATGACGTACCCGTCCGCACCACCAGACTGTACGATCTGCGTCCTCCCCCTCCCCCGCATCGCCCCCTCCCCACCTGACTCACTTCCCAACCTTCCCTTTCCCCATCCTGCCCCCCGCCGAGTACACCCGCCGTACCGTACCTTCCGTCCAATCCGACTAAATACGGCCACAGGTTTTACCGTCGTACCCCTGACGGCGACTCTCCTCAGCAGGGGCGTAGGGGCAAATACGGAAATCACAGGCGCAGCCGGCGCATTCCCCAGTACGACAGGCTCCAGGGGTAGCCTCGTAATTTTTTTTTCTCCTACACATCTCACCACCGCGTCTGGTTAGTTATTCTTGACTTCTTGTTGTTGCTCACATCCATCGCCGGCAGCTTGCCCATTTTCTTTCCTCCCTGCAACCACCGCCGGATCAAGAAGCCAGCCGCCAGCCGCCAGCCGCCGTCCGCCCGTCCTCCGTGTCAAGAAGCCACCGAGACCAGCCCACCCCTCCCTCCCTCCCCATGGCCGCGGCGGCATCCCACCACCAGCAGCACAGGCACCCCAAGCGCCGCCGCCTCGCCCTCGCCCTCTCCCTCTCCCCATCCCCCACCCCCGACGCCGCCGCGCCGCCGCTCGACTCGCTGGCCGACGAGCTGCTCTTCCTGGTGCTGGACCGCGTGGCCCAAGCCGACCCGCGTGCGCTCAAGTCCTTCGCTTTGGCCTCCCGCGCCTGCCACGCCGCGGAGTCCCGGCACCGCCACGTCGTCCGCCCGCTCCGCACGGACCTGCTCCCCGCCGCGCTGGCGCGGTACCCGTGCGCCACCCGCCTCGACCTCTCCCTCTGCGCACGCGTCCCCGACGCCGCCCTCGCCTCCGCCGTCGTCTCCGGGCCCTCCGCGCTCCGCGCCGTCGACCTCTCCCGCTCCCGCGGGTTCGGCGCCGCGGGCGTCGCCGCGCTCGCCGCGTCGTGCCCGGGCCTCGCCGACCTCGACCTCTCCAATGGGGTCGACCTCGGGGACGCCGCGGCCGCCGAGGTGGCGCGGGCCAAGGGACTGCGGAGGCTCTCGCTGGCAAGGTGGAAGACGCTCACCGACATGGGGCTCGGGTGCGTCGCCGTCGGGTGCGCGGAGTTGAGGGAGCTCTCGCTCAAGTGGTGCCTTGGGGTCTCGGATCTGGGGATCCAGCTCCTCGCCCTCAAGTGCAAGAAGCTCACCAGCCTGGATCTCTCCTACACCATGGTGAGCGTTGTGCGGGTTTCTCTGGGTTCTCTGTTCGTTTCTTGGATGATTCTGTCTTCTTGTTTCCTTGTAGTACGTTTCTTGATTTGATTTCAAGGCATCAGGTTCCCTCTTTAATTCACCGGAGAGAAAATGGGTTTCAGTTATTTCCTTTGCTCTAAATCTGCTACCTTCACCAGTTACTATAGTACATCATTTGCTCAATCTAATTTATTCAGTTAGTGCTTAGGGCATTGGATCACTTCAGTGTTTAGGGACTTGTAGGTAGTATAGTATTCTTGATCTGCAGACGTTCGTATCTACAAACATGGCAAATCATCTTTGCAACAATGGATCAGCAGAGCACTACTAGTAGCCAACTCTAGTTTCTCTTGCAGCTTTGTGCCTAGTCCCTACCGACCCACTTTATGCTATCGTGCTGGAGTAATAATAAAACGGAAACGTATCTTGTGTTGCAGATCACACAGGATAGCTTTCTTCCCATCATGAAGCTACCCAATCTTCAAGAGTTGACACTGGTGGGGTGTATTGGAATTGATGACGATGCTCTTGGCAGTCTTGAGAAAGAATGCAGTAAATCGCTACAGGTGAGTTACTCATGGTAATTTGCTGTTTTTGTTGATTTATACTTGTTACTAGCAATCACACATCACCTTCATTTGAAACACTGGTAGTATTTTGATCTGCTTGGTCACTGTTAGGTTCTGAATTCTGCTGATACCTTGTATGAACTAGTCAACTGACTAAAATATGTATTTTTTCATAATTCACAAAAGAAATTGTTTGATAGTAGCTCCGCTTATGACTGAACTCGCATGCTTGCACTGTTGCAGGTGCTTGATCTGTCTCAGTGTCAGAATATCACTGATGTGGGAGTTTCAGCCATACTGAAGTCGGTACCCAATCTATTGGAACTAGATCTTTCATACTGCTGTCCTGTAAGTAGCCAACCATCTAGTCGTATTATTCTATCACCTGGGCATAACTTGAGCCCTCACAGCTTAACTTACATCCTTTGTGTATCAGGTTACTCCTTCTATGGTGAGAAGCTTACAGAAGATTCCTAAACTGCGGACCCTGAAGCTGGAAGGCTGCAAATTCATAGCTGATGGACTAAAAGCTATTGGAACCTCTTGTGTTTCTTTAAGGGAGTTAAGCTTGAGCAAGTGCTCTGGAGTGACGGATACAGAACTCTCTTTTGCCGTGTCAAGACTAAAGAACCTGCTGAAGCTGGACATTACTTGTTGCCGCAATATCACTGATGTTTCACTAGCGGCCATAACTAGTTCATGCACTTCCCTCGTCTCTCTGAGGATGGAGTCTTGTAGCCGTGTTTCCAGTGGAGCACTCCAACTGATCGGGAAGCACTGTTCTCACTTGGAAGAGTTGGACCTTACTGACAGTGATTTGGATGGTGAAGGTACTTACTGAACTGGGTACTGAATTATTCTTTGCCAGATGAACATAAAGTTGACCCTGGATATATTGTGTAGGATTGAAAGCTCTTGCCAGATGCAGCAAACTTTCAAGTCTAAAAATTGGAATTTGCTTGAAGATTAGCGATGAAGGTCTTACCCACATTGGAAGGTCTTGCCCAAAACTCCGCGACATTGATCTGTACAGGTAATTATTAGACATGCCTTATGGTTTTCTTTATTTGGTTCTTTGTCAGTAAACTAACTTATATTTTCTGTTTCAGGTTTGGAGGCCTTAGTGATGATGGAATTATTCAAATTGCACAGGGTTGTCCAATGCTAGAGTGTATCAATCTATCCTACTGTACAGAAATAACAGACAGTTCACTGATATCACTTTCAAAATGCGCAAAGCTGAATACTCTGGAGATTCGTGGCTGCCCCATGATTACATCCACTGGGCTCTCAGAAATAGCGATGGGGTGCAGGCTACTTTCCAAGCTTGATATTAAGAAATGCTTTGAGATTAATGATGTGGGAATGCTTTACCTTTCTCAGTTCTCTCATAGCCTCCGACAGGTATTATCCTTTTCTCCTGTAACTGTAACTGGAATCTGATGGTACCATGTATGTTCTGCAATTGTGCTAATACCATCTATGTCTCATCACAGATAAACTTGTCGTATTGCTCAGTCACCGATATCGGACTTATGTCCCTTTCTAGCATATCCGGCTTGCAGAACATGACCATCGTCCATTTAGCGGGTATAACACCGAATGGCGTGACAGCTACTCTTATGGTTTGTGGTTGTTTGACGAAAGTGAAGCTTCATGAAGCATTCAAATCCATGATGCCTCCTCATATGATAAAAAATGTCGAGGCACGAGGGTGTGTTTTCCAGTGGATCGATAAACCATTTAAGGTATTGTATTGCTCCCCTGGTTGCTTTACACAGCGTTAAACCCTTGCGACCAAGTCGTATAAGCGTCTTGCCTGATTTGCTACTCGAGAACACTACGTAATTTGCCTCAGAAAAGTTGTGGTTCTAGCCAGATCTAAATGCAATGTTGTTTTTTGTACTTTCAGTATTTTTCCTATGCTTCAAAACACAAAAATCATGACTTGCTTATGCATGGTGTTTAAAAAAATGCCTAAAGAGGATAGCACAGTTGTCCTATATCTATTGAGTGGATTTGTTGTTACTAGAATTACAATCATGCAAAAGTCAAGCATCTAATAACATGTGTGGCCTTGTGCAGGTTGAGGTGGAACCTTGTGATGTATGGAAGCAACAGTCCCAAGATGTGCTTGTACGATGAGAAGACCTGAAGTGTAGCTATTGTGGAAACCAGGTCATGCATCTTGTAGATGGGATGGGTTCTGTTTGGTATCCAGAAGTGAAGCCTGAAGAACAACTCACTTTTGTACTGTAATCGGTGGGGTACCATGGTGATATGCCGACTTTGAGTAGTAGTGTATATCCTGATGTTGTATACTACTAGATGGGTAGATCCAATCCCAACTCACCCTCAATCTCACATTTGTTTGGTGAGGTGATCATATGCCTGGGAGTAAATTACATTTCTGTGGAGCACAGCTAGGAAGTTGATGTATAGAATATTAGCATGTAAGATGAAGGGAAGATATTGATACGGAAGAGATGGTTTTGGTTGATAATAAGGCTGTGTTTAGTTTGGTGAAATTTTGGAATTTGGTTACTGTAGCACTTTCGTTTTTATTTGGTAATTAGTGTTCAATCATGAACTAATTAGGCTCAAAATGTTCGTTTCGTGATTTCCAACCAAACTGTGCAATAAGTTTTTGTTTTCGTCTATATTTAATGCTTTATGCACGTATCGCAAGATTCGATGTGATGGCTACTGTAGCATTTTTTGGAAAACTATTTTGAACTAAACGTGGCCGCGTTGCAGTGCCTGTGTTTGTTGGCTGTTACATTCGTATTTGTGATTATTGCACTGTATCTATCTGCTCGGTTTGGGATGCAAGAACAGAATGAAGGATACTGGTGATCTCTGCCTGTTTATAGTGCTCGAGTTAAGTGGCTTGCCGGTTGCATACGCCATACAGGATCTGGTCGGTCGTATCCTCTCTCAAACAAACGAGGAGGCGAGAGTAGACCGAGACGCATGATCCTTAAGAGTTTGCAGGCGCTGGAGTTTGGTCATGTCCGATGTGAGTCAGTGTTGGACGGGACCATGGAATGGAACTCAAAGCACAGGGTGGGACAGGAATGGCAGGGAGAAGAGCATTGTGAGGCAGCTAGCGTTGCAATGGACAGGCGGCCATGGGCAGCTAGTAGCATTGAAGAAGCCGCTGCCAGGTGCGAGAGCGAGGCGACATGGGTGGGCGCCGGACAGGCAGTTGCCAACCACGGGTAGATGGCCGATGCTCCCGTCCTCCGAGAGCCCTTCACGGGCTTCACCCCTTGTCCCTTGATGAGTAAATGCATGGCATCTCCATCTCCGTCTCCATCTGCTGTTGCCTGGTTGCGTCGCCCCTCCGCCATGGCTCGAGGGAGCATTAATTACATGGTGACGGATCCCTGTATCTTGTACTATGCATATAGAATTAGAATGGTCCGTCGTCATACGCTGCCCTGCCCTACTCTTATGGTTTGTGGTTGTTTGACGAAAGTGAAGCTTCATGAAGCATTCAAATCCATGATGCCTCCTCATATGATAAAAAATGTCGAGGCACGAAGGTGTGTTTTCCAGTGGATCGATAAACCATTTAAGGTATTGTATTGCTCCCCTGGTTGCTTTACACAGCGTTAAACCCTTGCGACCAAGTCGTATAGGCATCTTGCCCGATTTGCTACTTGAGAACACTACATAATTTGCCTCAGAAAAGTTGTGGTTCTAGCCAGATCTAAATGCAATGTTGTTTTTTGTACTTTCAGTATTTTTCCTATGCTTCAAAACACAAAAATCATGACTTGCTTATGCATGGTGTTTAAAAAAATGCCTAAAGAGGATAGCACAGTTGTCTTATATCTGTTGAGTGGATTTGTTGTTACTAGAATTACAATCATGCAAAAGTCAAGCATCTAATAACATGTGTGGCCTTGTGCAGGTTGAGGTGGAACCTTGTGATGTATGGAAGCAACAGTCCCGAGATGTGCTTGTACGATGAGAAGACCTGAAGTGTAGCTATTGTGGAAACCAGGTCATGCATCCTGTAGATGGGATGGGTTCTGTTTGGTATCCAGAAGTGAAGCCTGAAGAACAACTCAATTTTGTACTGTAATCGGTGGGGTACCATGGTGATATGCTGACTTTGAGTAGTAGTGTATATCCTGATGTTGTATACTACTAGATGGGTAGATCCAATCCCAACTCACCCTCAATCTCACATTTGTTTGGTGAGGTGATCATATGCCTGGGAGTAAATTACATTTCTGTGGAGCACAGCTAGGAATTTGCTGTATAGAATATTAGCATGTAAGATGAAGGGAAGACATTGATACGGAAGAGATGGTTTTGGTTGATAATAAAATGGTTTTGAAATTTAGTGCGACAGATATGCGTTGCAGTGCCTGTGTTTGTTGGCTGTTGCATTCATATTTGTGATTATTGCATTGCATCTATCTGCTCGGTTTGGGATGCAAGAACAGAAATGAAGGATACTGGTGATCTCTGCCTGTTTATAGTGCTCGAGATAAGTGGCTTGCCGGTTGCATACGCCATACAGGACTGGTCGGTCGTATCCTCTCTCAAACAAACGAGGAGGCGAGAGTAGACGGAGACGCATGATCCTTAAGTTTGCAGGTGCTGGAGTTTGGTCATGTCCGATGTGAGTCAGTGTTGGACGGGACCATGGAATGGAACTCAAAGCACAGGGTGGGACAGGAATGGCAGGGAGAAGAGCAGTGTGAGGCAGCTAGCGTTGCAATGGATAGGCGGCCATGGGCAGCTAGTAGCATTGAAGAAGCCGCTGTCAGGTGCGAGAGCGAGGCGACATGGGTGGGCGCCGGACAGGCAATTGCCAACCACGGGTAGATGGTCGATGCTCCCGTCCTCCGTGAGCCCTTCACGGGCTTCACCCCTTGTCCCTTGATGAGTAAATGCATGGCATCTCCATCTTCGTCTCCATCTGCTGTTGCCTGGTTGCGTCGCCCCTCCGCCATGGCTCGAGGGAGCATTAATTACATGGTGACGGATCCCTGTATCTTGTACTATGCAAATAGAATTAGAATGGTCCGTCGTCATACGCTGCCCTGCCCTACCGCTAGCTCCAACAATGACTTTCCTAGAAATTCATGTCACTTTGCTACATTCTATTCCTTGCATGCATATAAACTAATCCCCTCTCATAGAATTGAATAATACAAACTTCTAACTAAATGAAATCCCAGTCACACACTTCATCATCACTTTCTTCCGAATAAACTATATAGATTTGTGTGCCCACCTAATAAGCTGTCACAACTTGGATGTATAAGATCATTTGCTCGAAATTGACATAAAATATTAAAATATGCTCTATTGATCTCATGTTTAAATATTTGTACATATGCAGAAAAATAGGAGTTTTTTTAGAAAGAAGCCAGTGGTGCAAATATCTTTTATCCTGAGTGCCAACCTAATCTATTTGAAAAAGAGTTTGGTAGTATTAAAAAAACTTTCTTTTTTAGTATATAAAATATAAATGAGAGATATCAATGAGCAAAATTAATATCTTGTTAATGAAGGTTATATTATTTATGAGTTGAAGACTTTGCTTGTAACAAATGATAAGACATTGAAAGATATGAAGGATAGACTATATGAAAATTTGAGTGGTGATGCTTTATTATATCAAGTGAAAGATGTTCATAATAGCAATACGACAATCTCAAAATAGATGGCTATTCTTGTATCTCGATACTAAGATTATTTTGGTCGATTGAATATTGAGATGTTATGGTTTAACGGGCTGCAAAAAGAGTTGAAGAAGTTTGTGGACTTTTATGGGATATGCTCCAATGTTTGCAGGATTAGAAAG